ATATATATATATACATACACACATTATACTGTACTATATTATGCTATATTAGGGTATGCTGTGTCATATTATGTTGTATTACACTGTATGATAAAAATGTGATATTCTTGAAAGTATTGTGTCATAATCTGTTACGCTACATTAGGTTATATAATAGTTGTACATGTTAAGTCATGGTTTATGCGCATATACACTCGTGAAAAACATGTATGCATGTGTAAGTGTATGTATGCCCATGTACGTGTTGAACATGTGCACGTACTTATTTCGTCCGTCCGTCAACGCATCCACTCATCCATCCATCCATCCATCCATCCCTCACCCCTGACATGCATGCCTACATGCATGCCTACATGCATACGTGCATACACACACACGCACACACACACACACACACACACACACCCACACACCCACACACCCACACACCCACACTCACACGCACGCGCACACCCACCCACACACACACACACACACACACACACACCCGCGGGCACGATTGAACGCAAGACCGGGGTCGAGCCGCCTCACATAGCTGCAGGCGGCGAGCGCCATCCTTGACAAGGCAACGTGCTGGGGCCATCCCATTGCCTGCGGTGACGACCCCAACGAAGTGAGGTACTACAGGCGGGCCTTCCCTGGTCAGACTTGCACTGGAGTACACGAGATGGCGATAGGTGCTTTTACACAGAAACAACAGCCAATTGAATAGTGGGTTCTGGATGTATCAGAGACATAGTTCGGCCTGCAAGCAGCGGATCGGCGAACACTGTTGTGAACAGCGGCTCCAGATTCTGAAGCTAGGATTGTTTGGCTTTCGCCTCTTGGAGCCCACCACACGGAAGCCCCCTGGACAGTCCTGGCAAAGAGTACCTTCACTTCTCGCCGGAGAAGCAGAAGAAGATCCAGGACCGCTGGCCTCCGGCATCAGTTGGTTCTTGGGCGTTCAAAGACCTCAGAAAGTAGTTCCAGCTACCGGCACCTTGCCACTGCCTGCTGCCAGCTGGAGCACTTGATTTCCAATCACACGAAACATGTAAAGGCGTGCTCATACCACGAGTAGAGGGCCCGACTGTTCTTGCATAGTTCTCCCATGCACCTCCCGAGGCGAGAGGATCTTGGCCCAAGATAGCCTTGTTCTCCTGTCGGGCTTGCTGTCTTTTTGAAGCCAGAAGCAGCTACAGGAACTGGACCTCCATGACTGGTTGGAGTTCGAGTCTTATCTTGCTCTGGCCTCAAAACAAAGTCCATATCTCGTGAAGCTCTTGCGTTTGGCTGACGTGCGCCTCTTGAACGTCCTTTTTGCTGAGGAAACTCTGGCCCATGTGGCAGACCTTTGTCGCCGAAATCGGGGTCACATCAAACCTGGTGACTTGGCTGAAGGCATCGGGCAGCAAGTTCCTGCATCCTCTGTGCGTCGAACAGGCTTGAGAGTCTTGGCCTATGCCAGCCTAGCATGTCATGGCCACACGCCACTCACATGACTGCACATGATGAAAATCATGCATGTCACTTTGATACCAAGAAGAGCTCTACCAGCAGATGGATCTCTTGAAGATTGACTTCAATGCAGTCAAGATTTGAGGCTAGTTGACATGGAAGTCTGTTGAGGCTAATCTTGTACCATAAAGCTTTCGTGCGAAAGATACTTGCTAATGCTATGCTTCCTGTACATTCGTACAGGGAGCGGTGCTTCATTGCACCACGACACGTTTCACGGAAAATTCAATCCAGTAGTTCGATGGCCAAGGGATTATGGTGCCTACGCTCTGTCCTCGGTTGTCCTGTAGATGGCGTACAACTCTATCTTCAGCGTGCAGAGGTCGAATCGTGGATGTTCCGGACGCAGTCACGGTCGAAATAGATCACTCTCATGGGATCATTGGGATCTCAAGACCTGCATCAATTTCCCAAGCACGGAGCAAGCCACCATCCCTTGGCACCCACCTGGATCCAAAGCGATCCACGCACGATGCAGGGCATGTGAGCCTGATGCCGTGCACCCCGGCATATCATCGGACTGTTTCCCCATAGAGTTAGGCTCTTGCATGGCTTTTGCACGACCATGCAACTCACAAGCCTCGGAGACTGAACGGTATCGCGCACCAGGCTTTCACGACCGAGTCAAAGCACTCCGAAAACAGAAAGAGCCTAATTGCCAGCGTGTAGCAGAGTGTAGCAGCATGCGCGAGGCATGGAGGATCATGGAGGCGTGGAGTGTCTTCTTTGCGGCATGCGGCTCGCAGTCATAGCAGACCCTTAGCAGACCAGCAGATGCTGCTCCACGCGCGAAGCAGTTTCAGAGAAAGTTGAGTAGCATCTATCAAGAAAGGAGCAAAGCTGCAACAGCGTGTGCGAGATTCCTGAGCTCCGCTTATCGCCACTTGAACCCCGACATCCCGGCGGCGGATTTTTTGGGGTGATCCCGAGTCCAGCTTAGAGGATTAGGCTTAGCGCCCAGGCTTAGCGTCTAGGCCCCGCTAGGCCCAGGCCCAAGCTGCAACAGCGTCAACATGCGCGCCGACGTCCCCCTGCACGAGAAGGCACGCTGCGGCCCGGCCCCTGCAAGGGGACAGGAGTCTGTGCTTCCTTCAAACTCCAACACCCCGGGTGTAGACGCACAGCAGACCGACGGCTGTTTTGGCTTGAAGGGCTTCGTGACCGGGCTCTAGAACTTGGATTTGTGACTTCATGTTGCAAAATCGCATGCCCGAGCTCGGCCTGAACGGAGTGTGACTGTCAACGTCGGTTTTGCCGTTCTGACTTTCCTTTCGAAGTAGTAAGAGTTGGACTCATCTGCTGAAGTTGCAGTTCCTGCAGTTTGATTGTTCGTAACCTGTCGTTGCTGCTGCTGCTCTCCGCCTCGTCCTCATCCTCCTCCCCCTCCTAAACTAGTGTTGCTGCTGGTGCCGCTCTGCTACTGCTACTGCTACTGTTACTGTTACTCCTGCTACTACTACTACTACT